TTAGGATGTACTTCTGTATCTGTATCGACTTGGGGAATTATCTAGAGTAATCTAACGGGCCCTTATATTGATAGATACCTTTCTATATGAGAGGGATAAGGGAGTCAGTAACTAAGACAAATCACCAAAATGCACGCGGCTGACGTACCGAACGAATTGTAATGGCGTTGTCTATCTGAACATATAGAATATGTACTCTTCTATCTACCATAAATTCGGTTTATCCGCCGATATTTCAAATTGTGCGGGGAAGAGTCGCTCGCACATGTGTGTACGTGCAGACAATGATGATTTAATTGCGCACTCGGGCTCCATTCTCCCTACACATTGCAAACGACTCCTTAAGAAGAGATATTCCTGAAGTTGAACGATTGGCGGGTGATGGAAGACTGCCATCCGCGGCAGCGCGACCTCGGATATCCCAGAGCCGAGAACGTGATATTGCGCAAGAATCCGCCCTGGGCCCGGCTACGCGAGCGATATTGTTCTTGTTTAATATCGCTTGCAATATTTTGGGGATTCGAAATTATAGAAAATGCAATCAACAATGGAGGGTCATCAATCACGCCCGCATGCCTTAATTGTCCTCGCTCCATAGAATCCCACATAACTGTGACCTTTGCGGCGTCCTTGGAGTAATGTATCATAAAATTATGGATTTCACATTTCCGTGATTCCTAACGAGTTCGGCGCGGAGGAATGAAAAAAATTGAAAACTTCCCGGGCGGAGGTCCCGTGGAAGTCGCGCCCGGGGCAACAGGTGTGTTCCGCGGGCCCGCGTGCTAGATCTAGCTACACCGGCGGCGCCGCCCCAATATCACACAACAAGGGGACGTACGTACGTACCGCGGAACCAGGGAGGGAAAAGATCTCTCTCTTCTCTCTCTCTCTCACACACACACTGCTATCGACCAGTACGGGGCCTAGTTTTAAAAAACCATCGATCGCGCACCCCTCCTCCCTAGATGAGAAGGCAAAAAGAGCGCACGGGGATTCCGCCTCCATTCACCTCGGCGGCAGAAGCACTTGTTCAATTATTGACTGGCTATGATGGATGGGGCGCGGGCCGGCCTAATAGCCGAAGACTCCATGCTAAATGTTACGCTTGAGTATTGGATCGGGAAAGTCTATAATACCGGGCTGCTCTTCCAAGGTTAAAGGACCACGAAGGTTAGATAAATACGAAACCCTCTTTGTCTATAACCTGCAATGGATTGCTACAAAACGTGATTTGGTTAGATTGGAGTCGATGTAATTCTCACCCCCCCCTCCCATCCTAGCTCAGCCGTCGGCCCAGCTAGATGAATGACGGTCCGTTCTCCCATCTCGTTCTGTCTGTCTAGTCTGCTCTTCTTAGGTCATTATTTGGCCGAAATCAGGGAATAAATCCCTCATGTTATCATCAAACATTTAGAGGTGATCTTCGAATATCTCTCGGTGCATGAGGGGTGCCATTAAATTACATATTTCATGCTACAGTCTATTAGCGGAGGAGAGTGATGGGCGCATTTCCCCGGCGCTCATTGCGCAGAGACGGACGGGCAGGCGATCGCCTCATCATTTCACACTTAAACATAGACGGCGTGGCACCACCAAATGTTGCCGCCGCGCTTATTTGTTCTCCCTATAAATCCACCTTTCCGATCTCTCTATTACTGACTTGTGCCTGGATGGGAAAAAATACTACAAGTCAAGAGTCCTCTCGAAACATGACAAGGAGATTAACGACAACGTGTGTGTGTGTGTGTGTTTGTGTGTGTGTTTGTGTGTGTGTTTATGGGTGTGTGTTTGTGTGTGCGTGTGTGCGTGCGTATGCGTGTGTGTGTGTGTGTTTGTGCCAGTGTGTAGCTAAAGTTTGGCAGGGTTGTGTGGTAAAAACGTGGTGAAGTTAATTTGGCTGTGTGCCGCGCGGGTGGGGGTACGGTAGTGTGTCCCGGGTGATGGACCGCGCCATCTCTCATGCTCCCTCACTTCATATCACTTGATGTCCCAACTTATAGTTATACCCGACGCTAGCTCGCGAGCGCGCCGCAGTAGTCAGTCTATAAAACGTCATGTGCGGTTTTTGAATTATGTCAGGGTCGCCGTCTCACAGCGAGCAGTAACCGCGGGAAAATCCCTTCCACCTTGTCGTCTGTCACGTCTGACTGTGATTTATCCCCATTTTCCGTCTATCTGTCGAATCAGATTCCGTCAGACCTGGTCTGTCGGACGGGCCGGGCGCGAGCCGCCGTCGCGCGCGTCTCAGTCATTCCTCCTGACAATGCTGTCATCCGGTATTTGGCGCGCGAAATCTTATTGATAAGCCGTCAGGTTTTTCCGTGCAAATGTGACGCCGTCGCGTGTCAAAGATGGCGGGGTTTGTCTGTTCCACTTCGACTTGACGGTCAGAAGCTGGAGGGAGAGAGCTACGCGTGAGAGAAACGGCCGCAAGAAAAATTACGAGCTTTACCCGGGGCCATAAAAGTGACAAGACCGAGGTGTAAGAACTCTAAATCAACTTGACGCACCCACATTAGCGATATTAGCCGCTGATTAGCGATGACAGCCGCGGGCCAAATTTATATGTCAAAAAATGCGCGGGAAACCTCGAATCCCCGCCGCTGAATCCTGACAGAAATCTCGTGCCAGACGTCACCAGCCGAACTCATCGACGGTTTAGAGTTAAGTTTAAGATCCCCCTCCTCTTCCAACAACCTTTGCAAAGAGATCCCCAAACCAAGTCTGGCATTACTAAGCTGCAGGTACAGTACAGAGGCGTCGGAATTTTAAGTTGGAAAGTTTCATCCATTTCTAAGCCGCCGACCTCCGCCCTCTTGTCAGCGGAAGAAAAATGAGGCGAGTCCCCGATTGGAGACAGGACTTTCGGACGAAATAAAGTATGTAACACGTTCTAATCCGGAGTAAGATGAGAACGCCGGGTATAGTCTCGCGGAGACTAATGTGTCTAACTCCTACAAATGGGCTTTTTGGTTGGAAGCTATTAAGCCCCAACGGCTAATGATGCTTTTTCCATTATTATCGATTCTTGGTAAAGCCGAGTGTATTCTCGGATCATGAATTTTCCAATATTATGATCCTAATTTGCGGCTGGTCATTCCGGGAGGGAAATTCGACACGCTAATGACACATGCAATAGATAAACTATCTCTAAAAAGTAAATTAGAAGTAATTTATAGATACACATAAGTGATAATTTATGGATCGCAATATTATCTTTCGCATCGAGGGACCCTAATTTTGCCCTTGGTACCGGGGAAAATCGGTGTAGTGGAGGGATAATACTCGGCGGGAGGCGCTCGGGCGCGCGGAATGTAAGAAGCCGGGATGCCGCAGAGACTCGCCGGTTCTAATATGTTTCTGATTTTGGTGACCTCAGCAGAGGATTTGGTGCGGCCCCGGGGTCGGCGTCATCCATCATAGCTGAAAGGTGCAGGCCCCGCCGACCCCGGCACGCCGCCTCATGAATATGGAGCCTTTCTCACTTACCCCCGCGCGCACAGATACTTTGACCGGGAAAAAAGTCGGCCAATTTTTTTTATGGGGCTCGGAATTAAGACTTTTTATTTCTCACGATTCAGCGAGCGCCTTTAAGGCCTTTTAAGAGTAAACCGTGCTGTTCGCTGCCTCATGAATATGGAGCCTTTCTCACTTACCCCCGCGCGCCGATATATACTTCGCGCAGAAAAAAGTCGGCCAAATGTTTAAAGCACGAAATTAAGACTTGTTGTATTTCTTATGTGTCAACAAGCGCCTTAAAACTGAACCGTGCTTCGTTTATGAATATGGAGTGATACTTTGACCGGGCAATGCACAGAAGAAAAAAAGTCGGCCAAATTTTTTTAAAGCACATAATGAAAACTTTTTAAAATATTTCTCACGATTCAGCGAGCACCTTTAGGACTAAACTGTGCAGAAAGCGGAGAATATGGAGCCTTTCTCACCGGGCCGGGCCGGGCCGTGCAAAGAAAAAAAAGTCGGCCAAATTTTTTTTTGAGACTTTTTTATAGCTCACGATTCAGCGAACGCCTAAAAGTAAAAACGTGCTTCGTTTGAAGGAAAGGAAAGCGGAGAATACGGAGCCTTTCTCACTTACCCCCGCGCTTGTCGGTACTTTGACCGGAGGATGCACACACTAGAAAAAAAAGTCGGCCATTTTTTTTTAAGTCAAGGAATTAAGGCTTTTACACTTTTTTTTTACTTTTTAGTTCTCACGATTCATCGAATGCTGCCTCATGAATATGGAGCCTTTCTCACTTACCCCGCGCGCGTCGATACTTTGACCGGGCGATGTAGAAAAAAGTCGGCCAAATTTTTTTTATTGGGGGCACGGAATTAAGCCTTTTTCATTTCTCACGATTCAGCAAGAGGCTTTAAGAGTAAATCGTGCTTCATTTAATGGAAGGAAAGTGGTGGTAACCCCGCCCCCCTCCCCCCGACCCGCTGGTACTGGTACCAGTATCCCACCAGTAGGGCTAATGTCCCTCTAGATGCGCGGGAAGAGTTGGGACTAAAGGTCGGGGCGATCGGTTTGGATTCATTACGGAGGCTCGCCCCGACCAACAGAGAGCGTCTTCCCCACCATATAAAGCTATAAATCAGCGGCCGGGAACTGCTATTGTCGGCAAAAACGGGCACTGCAGAAGAAGGAAGAAGGGGAGAATCAGGTGCACCCTAGCACTACATTGATCGCCAGAGAAAGTTAATACCCCCGTTTGACTTAAGCTTTTGTTTTTGTTTTTTTTCTGTCTGACTGGGTAGTAGGATCGATGTGGAGAATTTAGTGTAGCGAAGCCGGGCAGAGGAGCGATGTAAACTTTGGCCCGTTCCTTGGTGACCAACTCGCCCGAAGGCGTCCCGCGCTGCACGGCCGGCCAATAGCTTCATCTTCCACCCAATTAGTGCTGCCTTTTGTTTACCTTACCCGCCCACCCCTGGTAATACTATTCAAATATCGCACCTCACTTTATAAACTTTGTCAGCCCTCATTGTTCTCTGAAATCCCCGTGCTGATTCCTACAGACTCGTCACGCGACCAGGCGACGTTTTTTTTATTCTCTAAACACAATACACTGTTGAAGATTAACACTGGAGTTAAACACAGAAAGAGTGAGACTGAGAGGCAGGCCTAACAACAACATACAACACAAAATGTATGTGGAAGTGAAATACGGCAGTAACGAGTGTATACTGGTGAACACGAATTGTGTTGTTATCAATCTACTGGGCAGCATCAAGCAGCGCTGCGGCCTGCCAGACCCAGACCTGCTCCTGGACCTGACTGACGAAACAGGTAGAGATTTATATCATCGGGAGTTTTTTTTTAAATTCTCTTTGAAGTTGCCGCACCCGTAGGTAGGTAGGTTCTAAGGTACGACAGGTGCACACAGAAGCGGGTTCCTGTGCCCGCCATATTGCACGCACGCACGTCGTTAGTGGGGTAGACAGGGGGAGCCAACACAATGTCGCGCCGCAGACGATTGACCACAAATTAGACTCTACACAGTGACTGGCTGGATCAAGACGTGTTCTGCTGTCAGTTTGCACTAAGTCTGACAGGCCGGCCGGTTTGCCTGGGTGCCTGCCTGAACGCACCGTAGGGTCGGGGGTGTGTGTGTGGGTTAGCGTGGAGGGGTTACTAGTACTAGTAGCAGCGCACCACCACCTCCTCTGTAGGGTCCCTGTCACCACGTACGGTCCCATTGCCCCCTCACTCTCTCTCGCAGGACGGACGGACGCGCCACGCACTTCCCAACCAACATCGAACACCACTACTGACCCCAATCGCACGAGGTTGGCGCATCATTCCCAGTAATTGAGGGTTTCTTTTCACACAGAAGTGCCTTTATTGGGACATCTGGATCCATTATCGGCAGCGCGCTGCTTGCTGGCCAATTCCTGGAGATGAATATATCGAACAGTCATTATACCCCCATCTAGTCTTTTACCTTGCGCAGCTTTCCGGACAGAAGAGCTCCTGATGATCTGGGGAATTTTGATGAGACTCAATAATGCTCAGACCTTTCCTCGAAAATCGATCGCCGTCCTCGACAGAAATAACCCCTCGGGAGAAGCGGGAGAGAGCCCGTTAGCCAGGAGAAGCCGGCGCAAAGGTTGTGGACCGTTCCTGCCCGGCGGCCGGAGCCCCCGAACCCCCCGGCCGTCCCGCCTCGGGGCTTCTCTCCGCGCCTGGTCCGCGCGCTAAAGCGGCAGGGCGCCACGCGTCTAAGTCTGCAAAGCTGAATTCTTAATTCCCTCCACAAATCACGTATCTTTGCAAATCCCGGTCAAATCAAGTGCGGAACTACAAGCCGACTCCCTAACGACCCCGAAGGCACGCGGCCTGTACTCGTTAGCCCCGCGCAGGGAGGCGACTGACACCGGCACCCGGCTGTCAACACACGGGGAGCGGGGAAGGGGGAGGGGGATACGCCTGGAGACCAACGGCGATGTAGTAACACATAAAAATGAAAATTTATGCCGCCAATAAAATTAACGTATTATCACTAATGGTGATGGTATATTTATGCGGTGTTGTAAAAACCGAACGACGTCTGTACTATATACTGTATGGGCCTTTCGTGTGAATGAACAATTCAAAGTACATAGCTCGGGCTCCGAATTCGTGTAACATAAACCGATATGTATCACTTGAGACCGGTGAATGGCGGATGAAACAATAAACCTCGCACGTATACTTCAGTGCGAACCAGGCACAGAAAATGCCTGCACCCGACGGTGGCGCATTAATGTCCTGGCACCCTCCATTTATCTTCATTGCCGCTGCAAGCCGAGGAAGCGTAGAATGGGCTCAATAACGAGGTTCATAATGCCAAGTAAAAATATCCGTTCCCATTAGTTTTGAAGGGGCCATTAGCTTAGTCGGGAGTACGACAGAATCGCGCGGGGAGGTCCCCTGCCATCATCCACTCGGGGTCCGGCGATGCCACCACAAATTTTCTTCAATTTCCGAACCACTTGAGCCTGAGCGACAGTTACTAGTTATTCTTTTTTTTTTATTATTATCATAACTAGGGTGAATCCTGGGTATCTCTTCGCAGATGAACTTCATCTTTACAGACGGAAAGTGATGTCTGCGGGGGTCCGCTCGGCGGTGATAGAGCGTTGCGCTCGGTGTATTTGCCAAATCTTCAGGCGAGATGGTTTTCCCTCTCCCCCCCGTGTCGCATCGCACCGTCTTTATTGCCCTCTTTCGTGCCGCCAGGTGTTAGATGCAATTTACGAGAGCAACATTTGCAATATTATATCATAACGCGACTCAATTTTCTGCGTGCCTGGCAGCCGTTAATGTAGCTCATTTCGTGGGGCGATGGAGACCCGCTGCACTCTCCTACCACAGTTGCCCTCTCGTCTCCACACACTTTCCCCTGCACACGCGCTCCTGAACAGGTGTCAGAAACGTGACACCATGTCGCCTGCCCCCCTCCCCATCCAATGCAGTTTTAAGGGCTTGGAAACCCGATTTTTTTTAAAGCCAATATTCTAGTCATTTATCTACATACTGAGTTGAAACCACACTATCCAACTGTATATTGACCCTTACGGAGCAAAAATTCCCAAAATTCTGACGGAAAATGGTTACTGGAAGGACCCTGGGCTGATTTTTAGGGTACCACCCAGAAAATAAAGGACTCATCTTGGGGCTTGTCAGTTTCAGCAGTTTTAAATGCTCAATTAATGTATGAAATGCTGACTCAAATGGGGTTAAGTGGGCCAGTGTGTGACAATATCACAATATTTCCAGTTTTGCTGCACTGAAATCGCATTGTAGCCTTTAAACAGTATGATGTGTATCACTTTTGTGTGACAAGAGTTATCCGTCTTCTTCATGTCGTTTACACACAACAGGTACTCCCTAGCCTTCGGCAAGTACTAAGTTAAGCTTGACTCGAAGCTACTGGTTTACATCTGAAGCTGTTACACATACAGTTGAATTCTCATGTCCTGTTTTATGAAACTTTAGCAAGTCCAGATAATGCTACAAATGGTTATGTGGTGAGTCCAAGTTAGCCATAAAGGATTTTTGATGGACAAGAGAATTGTTCCTGGTACAAGTGGGGCGATAACACACGTGTTTTTGATGTATTTGTTGCCACTTTATGTTTGCACTTTCTGTAGTATTGCTTTGTTCGTTTTGAGGGTCACTGCGGCAAAGAATTGTATTGTGTGGCCCTTGATAACACTTCCTAACAAAGTTATAGTACGACATACCAGGAAATGGCGTTACAAGCACTTAGGAGTACAGTATATTATGATTTTGTAAACATCCAATTCTTGTGCTAGTCTGACAAACATGTCATACAAAGAGGTCAGAGGTCAAGTTAGTATGACAAGCCTACTGCTGCGAGGACAGAGTTTTTTTTTAATTCTACATTTTTCGTCTGTCATAACTTTAGACAATATTAGATAAAAGAGTCCGAAACAAAGTTAGTCTCTCACCATATATCCCGCCACCCACTTCTTTTTAAGCCTTTGCCATAAACATCATGGTATCATTTACCGTTATCATACCGTCTCTGTCGCGACTACGAAGTTGAGCATATCAAAGTCAAATATGGAGCTTAGATAACTCCGGAGTCATTACCGTGGTTAGCAAGCCTTGTCTCCGTCCCGGAGTGAAGATTCCGATCTTGATAAAGATCGCTATCAATAACCAACCGGTGATAACGGGCTGTACGATCGTTATTTTCTACTCGCTGTGATTGATATTTGTCGCCGTAAATTCCCCTCCATGCGCAGCAGAGATTGTTTCTCGCCATCAGATTGATGGTCCTTTTATGTACCATCTTCCAGTAGATCATCATGAACTGCAACTTTGCACCCACAAAATGCTCCGGCGTCCTCGGCACAGAAAATCGAAATAGGATCTCTCCCCGCAATGTGCTATTATGTACCGTCGTTTTTGCATTCGTAATATGCAGTAAATTATTCTGTCTGCCAAACTTTTTTTTTAGATCTTTTGTATCGCCTTCGTATAACCCTGCCTTACACATGGCAACCCTTATTTGTGATGTGATTGCTTTATGATGGGTTTGATTGTAATTTCTCGCTTTTTCAGTCTAGTATTTATTCATTTATTCACATATATTTACTGAGTATTAGGAAAAAAGCACAGATTGCTTATGTGGGGCCTTCTACTCAAAACATAAAGAGAGAGTAAAACACAATGACAAAATTCATAGTTAATTACATAATTATAAAGTGGACAAAAGAAAAATGATATTAACAAGACAAGTTGGTGTTCTATCAATTACGAGAATCTATCTGTACAGTAAATTAAGTTTTGAACTACATCAAAGACATTACAGTTTGGTGAATGTGAAAGTCAGTCTAGTAGTGATTCTAGTAGAAAATGTTTGACTCTTTGATGAGGGGTCTCCTGGTCTCGGACCTGAAGCAAATAAGCCGATTCATAGTAAATTATTCTGTCTATCATTTTTTTTTATATCTGCCGTATCGCCTTCGTACAACCCTGCCTCACATCATAGTTGCAACTAATATTGTGTTTGCTTCATGAGTTTGATTGTAATTTCTCGACGTTTTCTCTAGTAGTGATTCTACAGAATGTTTGACTCTTTGATGAGGGGTCTCCTGGTCTCGGACCTGAAGCAAATAAGCCGATTCACACGGCGGATATCGGGGCACAGAGTAATCGGTTCGGAGCAGCCCAGTCATTAACGTGTTGGAGTCAATACGGCAGTGTTTAGAAATCAATTCCTAACTGGAGAGAAACTGCTAAACGGTAAAATTCAATAAAGGGTTATCAACTGTGGATGGAGTGTGCAATGTGAAGAGAAGCCACCGGAAAATCGTCAATAGCAGGCCCATATCATACCCGGTCTTAGCGAGAAAATAACACGTGTTTGTGGGCTACAATAAACTACACATAGTTTTCTCCGTATAGTGAGTTTCGTACAACTGTAGGAAGGCTGCTAGGGACAAGATGTGTCAAGATTAGGGTCTTGTAGTGCAGATAAAACTTGTATTTCTCAAGTTATGGAAATGAACAATGACATTTAGGAAATAAGAGAAACCATCATCCAAGGGAACGGACAGAAAAAAAAACAGGTTAACATGTAATGTTCTAAGTGTAACGCCAGAACGGGCAGTACTGTATTTTCAGGGTTAATTACGACTGTAGACCAATTATCTACTTTTGGCCTTTGTCGATTTTACGCGAAGGCCCCCTTAACCTTCACATACATTAAAATCACTTTCATTGAAGGCTGCATTGATTAAGTCTTGTTGAGCCATACCGTGAATTTACAGTTT